AGTGAACAGACCAATTTAACAGTGAATTCAAATTAGCTTCGCACACGAGATTTTCAACGAGGCAATTGAACTGATATCGAGCACAAACTCCTGTAAAGTAGCTTCCACACTGTGCAAGTCTTGGTATTCGTTAAGAATCTAATGAAACACAAATTTAGTGGAATTCTGTTGGAAAATTTCGCTACAAGGATGATTAATACAAAGCGCGCTTTCCCAGCGTCTAAAATATGCGGAGTAAGCAAATGCTTGTCAAGCAAGGCACCTGGAGTTCCACATACGCGGAAATTATGTGTTTCAAAACAAGGATATACAAAAAAGCACGCTTTGCCAGCATTTTCTAATATGCTATATAAGCACATCTATTTTGCTCAAGCAACAGCCCGCCTCGTCCATGGAAACACAATGCGTGATTGATTGATTGATTGATTGATTGATTGACTGACAGCGATTAAATTCGACACGGACGAACTGAGATAAACCGGGTTTCTATTGCGCGCAAAGGTTATAATAAACGTAGAAGATTAATCCACTTTGTCTGGATATAAGTGGCGCGGGCAGGGATCCCACACAGCAGAAAATAAATTTGCCTAGTCCTATTTACGCACCACAAACGAGAGAAAAATGAAGTCATGATCGTGGCGAATTGACGAACCTCGTCAAAACCCGCGTTCTCAGCTTCTTTATAAACATCTACAGTCCTACTTGAAACTTCCTTCCTACCAGTTTCAAGCTTTCGATCTAAGGGGTATTAAGGTCCCTCGTTGCGTCGCAACCAAACAAGGCTGGTACTCCATGCGTTTCACTTAAGCTCGAGCTATAGAATCACAGATACTTGGTTTAGTTAACATGCCTGGTAAAACTCGATCAAAACACATGCTGCTCAACCTAATCTAGCTGTCAAATCAAATGCAGTATTCAGAGTGTAGAGCCCCTCCTTAATATATGCAACATACCCCAAAAAAGGACTGAATCATTTGCGTACACCGCCATTTTAGCTTTGCGTCTGCTTCGCCAAAGCTAACATAGTACGGTAACGGTATCCCAACATTATAAGACGCATTTACCATGACTGGAAAATCAAGATCTAAGGGGAATTCGAGAGAGGATGCTGGATATCCTAGAGAAAATCCAAACAGTCAAGGGAATGGCTGG